ATCATTATTTCTTAAAATAAGCTTTCTTCTCCTTTCTCTTTCTTTGCTCCTCCTGGAACTTCCATAATGCATTTATTGTTTTGTTTAATAGTGTTCCATAAGTCATGCAGGCTTTCTTCACTCTTTTTTGTTCTTTTTTTCTTTTTGTTCCTCTGACTGAATAATTTCTAGTGATCTATATTCAAGTTCACTGATTCTTTCTTCTGTTTGATTGGTCTTCTATTGTAGTCCCTGTTAAATTTTTCAGTTCAGTCATTGTATTCTTCAGTTCCAGAATTTATTGGTTCTTTTTTATGGTTTCTACCTCTTTGTTGAACTTATTTTGTTCATGCATTGTGTTCCTGATTTTACTTAGTTGTCTATGTATATTCTCTTGTAGCTCATTGAGCTTCAAGATAATTATATTGAATTTTTTGTCAGGCAATTAACAGGTCTTCATTTCTTTGTGTTAGCCATTGCATCTTTATTTTCTTCCTTTGGTCATGGTTATATTTCCTTTATTCTTAATGTTCCCTGAAGTCTTGTGTTGCTGTCTTTTCAATTTAAAAAGTAGTCCCCTCCTCAAGTTTTTACTGGTTTGATTTGGGAGAGAAAGATCTTTATCAATTGGGCCAGCTAGGGACTTGGAGGTCTCTCAGACCTCTTCTATCGATATGCTTACCCCACTCTGCTTGTTCCCTCTTTATTGGAGAGGAAAAATTTTAGGATTATGTCCCTTGTCTCAATCCCACAAAGTTAGGCCAGATGCTGACAGCCTCTTGTTTATTTCCCCCAGAGTAGTGCCCTGAAGTGTTCAATGTGTGCCTTCCCCAATTTCACAAAGGCAAGCTAGCCACTGAAATTCATATGCTTTCTGCAGAAGTTCACACACACCCTCTGTGGAAGCTTGCACTTGCTGTCTGTGGAGGGTTGCTCATGCCTTCTGTGGGAAGGCACACATGCCATTTGCGGATGCTCACATGCACCATCTTGATGGAGTCCCTGAGCCAATGAGTAGGTTCTGTGGCTTGTTTTTAAGATCTGCATGGTGGTTTCTATTTCCCTATCTATTTTCCCTATCTAGCACTATCTATTTTCCCTATTCCTAGGTTCCCTCAGACTATTCAGTCATGATGTTCCCCTCAGTCACCTGGGTAGGGCAAGGGTGAAGTGAGCCTTTGGACAATATCCTGTGGGTCTGAAAAGGCTGGGTGCTCACTCCACTCTCATTTTTCCCTTGTGAAGAAACTGGGAGAAATTGTGGGCCAAGAGTTTTCTCTTGGCACTGAGACAATGCAGGCAAAGTGAAACTGATTGTCCTACCCTCTTCAATCTGTCTATTCTTGGAATCTTTTATTGAATGCTGTGCTGGGATCTCTACATTGGACTCCCATGTTTCCAGAGAGGTATTCCTGTGGATAGTTGTCAACATTGTTGTTTCTGTGGGGGTATGGCATGGCATATTCCATTTAGACATCTTGCTGCTATAACACTCCTTGTTTTTTCTCTTTCTGTAAAAAATTTCATTGCGATTTTGTAGGATTGCATTGAATCCATATATTACTTCGGATAGCATGGACATTTTAAAAATATTAATTTATGGGCAAAGTACCTAAATAGACCTTTCTACAAAGAAAACATACAAGTGCCTACCAGGTTTATGAAAAGGTACTAAACATCACTAATCAGGGAAATGCAGATCAACACCACAATAAGACATCACCGCACACCTGTTGGGATGGTTATTATAAAGAAAAAGAAAAAAAAGGAAAAGAAAAGAAAAGAAAGGAAAAGTAAAGAAAAGATATCAAGAATTGGTAAGGATGTGAAGAAACTGGAACCCTTATTATACTGTTTGTGGGAATGTAGAATGATGTAGGCACTATCGAAAATAGTATGGAAGTTCCTCAAAAAATTAAAAATAGAACCATGGGATCCATCAATCCAACTTCTGGGTATTTATCCAAAAGAATTGAAATCAGTATCTAGAAGAATTCTGCATCCCCATGTTCATTGCAACATT